TTATTCCTTGTGTCATGGGAAGGAAGTCTTTTGCCATCTACTTTTGATTGGGGCATATAAAGACTATGAGTAATAAACTTGAGGCGGTTACAGTATTCACTGGAAGCCCTCCCAACTCCATCTTCTGTCTCTTGTCTCTTTCTTTCTTAATCTTCACTCCCCCTTTCAGGCACGTGCAAACAAATCTCCTGGTCCCAACAACTTTTGAAACCTCAAAGCCCACCCCCAGTGACACACTTCCTCCAAGAAGGCCACACCTCCTAATCCTTCCCCAGCAGTTCTACCAACTGGGGACTAAGCATTTAAAGCTTTTTTTTTTTTTAAGATTTATTGTTTATTATGTATGCAGTATTCTGCCTGCAGGCCAGAAGAGGGCACCAGGTCTCATTACAAATGGTTGTGAGCCACAATGTGGTTGCTGGGAATTGAACTCAGGACCTCAGGAAGAGCAGTCAGTGCTCTTAACCTCTGAGCCATTTCTCCAGCCTCTGGGACTAAGCATTTAAATATATGAGTCTGTGGGGGCCGTTCTCATTTGAACTAACACAGGGTTCCTTTACCTTTTTCATAAAGTTTCCCTTTCTTCCTCTGCTGCCTCTGTTCCTCTGAAAAAGGATTCAGGCAAAAAGGTTTCAATCAATGCTCGGTAGCCAGTTTTATCTTTATACAGTAACTGACCATTTAGATTCCTGGTGGCTGGGTCCACAAAAAGGAAGACAGTCTTAAAAGAGAGTTGTTGAATTAACCAGTGAAAACTTCAAGGGACTGACAGATGCCACTTTGGAGCTCCTGGCAGATAGTGAGACTCATTGAAGACTCACTCATTAGGAAGGCTGAAAGATTCTCTGTGGGCAGCTTTCAACTCAAGTCAACTAATTAAGTCAACCTACTACAGAGTTCTGCATCTGATTAAACGAAGGACAAGTGCTTGCAATACACACATACACATATAGTAATCATGAAAATGGACTCAATTATAGTGTTCAAAACTTTTAAAAAAAACATTGCTGTTCCACTATTATTAGTGGGATACATCCAGCTGTTTCCAGTAAATTCTGGAAACCTTGGATAGTAATTATTTTAGTTACTGGTCTCATAGTTGTGAAAAAGCAGCTTAATGGAGGAATTGTTTATTCTGGATCACAGTTCAGAAGATCATCGTGCATCATGGTGGGGAGGGTGACAGTAGAATGTGGGTTGGGTGGGTCACATTGCACCCTCAGGCGGCATCAGGGAGGTGATCACTGTGCTCACTCGGCTTCTCCCTCATACCTTTTTACTCAGCCTGGGACTGCAACCCATGGATGCAGCCACTCACTTCAGGGTGGGTCTTTCCTGTTCACTCAAAGCTCTCTGGAAACACTCTCCAGAAATGTGTCTCCTAGGTGATTCTAAACCCCATCAAGTTGACCATGAAGCTTAACCACCACAGTAATGAATAGCGTATGTTTAACTTACAAATTTAATTTATAAATATATTGAGACTAACAATACATAATAAAAAGCAGACCAATTATATGAACGTATGTTAAATAAGCATGGTCTCTCTCTTTCAAAATATTTTACTCCATTGTATATCACAGCAATCATATCATTTTTTCTGGATTTAGTTGAGGACCGAGACGTAAGATGCACTTCATGATTTCTCTTTGACCTATCTAAACTGCAGCATCAATACTCTGCACTTGGAACTATCATGAAGTGCACCAGGGTGACCTAAACGTTAGCATCAGCACTCAAAACCATAGCTATTGATCTAGTAAGCCAGACAGATACCAAGTAAGCTATGCGTGGGTAACAAACACAGTGTGGATTCTCTAGAAAAGATGATTCATGTTCCAGGCAGGACAGAGAAAGACAGTCAAGACTTCATCATTTTACTCAGAAGGGTCTGCAATTTGAGAACTATGAAATGTTTATTTCTAGTTGGTAAATTTTGTTTAATATTTCCAAACTGTAGATGACTTCAAGTAACTGAAACCACAAGGGAAACAAAGCTGGAAGTTGTGTGTGTGTGTGGGGGGGAGGGCTTCTGTACTCAAGAGTTGCATTGACACTCGCACTTGTTACCCATGGGTGGCATGTATGGTCATGTGACCAGACCTAGCTGCAAGAGAAGCTGGAACACCAACTCGCTAGTCTCTTCAGAGAAACAAAAAAATCAAACATTAGCAATTAAAGGACGTGAGGTCACATACCAGTAATCATAACTCCAAAGACTAAGGCAGCAAGGTCTCAAGTCTGAGGCCAGCTTAGGTCAAAGAGTAAACTGTGTTTTTTAATTTTTAAAGCTTTTTTTTTAAAGGCTTTATTGCTAAGAAGAAGAGAGAGGAGAATGACTCTAGTCATCTATCACACCTCGCTTTACCCTTCTTTCTTTCCTGCCAGGTGCCTTGTTGTATTACTAGTTCTCAAGGAAGGCACTGATATCTAACCAGGAAGTGCTAAGTAAAAATACCAATGTTCTGATTTCAGGAACTTTCCTAGGCAGGTGACTTGCTTGTCCTCTTCCTGCTTGGTCTTCTTGATGTGTGTGTGTGTGTGTGTACACATTTTCTCCCATGCAATAAGGGCTCTGTAGCTCAGGCTGTCCTCTTGAATTTATTATACATTCAAGAACGACCTGATCATCTTGATTCAGCTTCCCAATTGCTGGGAATCTAGGCATGCTTCACCACCCTTGACTGACTGTCAAGGTCTGGAAGAAGAGTCTCCCTGTGCTTGCCCAGGCTTTATCCTCTTCAGACCCCTCCCACTGAATTACAATCATTACCTAAACTGAGTATGCTCTTTCGAGGCAGCCAGTAGCTAAGCACTGGTTAGTTTCATCCCCAGTTCTAGCTACTTTTCACAGTTTCAATTTAAAAAAAAAATCGGAGATTTTATTTTTCTGTTTTATGTATAAGTGTTTGTGTGTGTGTGTGTGTGTGTGTGTGTGTGTGCGCGCGCGCGTGTGTGTGTGTGCATACAGTGCCTGAGGAAGCCAGAAGATGGTTGCAGATTGTAGTAGGAGGTGTGGGCTCCTTGTTCCGTCCCGCCCGGCTAGCTTATGCCCGAAATACTCACACGGAGATCTGTATTAATTAAATTGCTGCCTGGCCCATTAGCTCTAACTTCTTATTGGCTAACTCTCACATCTTGATTCAACCCATTTCTATTAATCTGTGTATCACCACAAGGCCGTGGCTTATCGGGAAAGATTCAGCATGTCTGACCTAGCAGCTTCATGGCAGGCAGTTCTCCCTGCCTCCTTCCTCCCAGCATCCAGTTCTCTTTTTCCCACCTATCTAAGTTTTGCCCTATCAAAAGGCCAAGACAGTTTTCTTTATTCAACCAATGAAAGAAACACATAGAAAGAAGATCCTCCTACACCAGCAGATCTCTAGGACCTGGAGTTACAGATGGCAGTCAGCTGCCATGTGGGTGCTGGGAATTGAACCTGGGTCCTCTGGGAATTGAACCAGGGCTGAGCCATTTCTCCAGCCCCAACATAAATCTTGAAAAACAATTTTGGCTTGGGATTGGGACAGAATTTCAAAATGGTCCAAAATAAAGTTCTGCTACTTAGCACCATACATTTATGATGTAAAATGGCACACTCATTATTGGTGATTCTAAAATGAAAATACCAATCAACTCTGAGAAAATATGAAGATGCTCTGTGTTCTGTAGTATCAAATGTTCAGCCATAACTTAAGCCTTTATGTAAAAATAAGCAAGCCCACCCATCTAAGCATGTAAACCACTTACTTCTTTAATAAATAGTAAATTTATAAGTATTCAGAAAGATTGTTTTAAAATGAGTTTCTTTATGACTCACTATGAGTAAATGTTTGATTTGTGTGTTGACTTTATAGACCTATACACACGGGGTAACACAAAACCTTTTCCGAAGAAAAAGCATTCATTAGTGGCAAAAAAAAAAAAAAAAAGAACCAGAAGAAGTGCTCCCGAAAATGCTGCAGGCGCTGAAGGCTTCAGAAAGAGGTTCAGAAAGAGGGCGTGGCAGGTGGAGCAGGCCATCTTGAGCACAGGGGACAGCATTTGCAAAGGCAGCAGGCAGGGGCCAAGTCTGGACTCCCTCATCCTTCGCAGTGAAAGGCAAAAGTTGCAGTTTGTGTAAATTACGGAGGTCATTTTATCCCTAAAAGTTAGAAGCCAGCCTGAGCTATGAAGCCAGTTCAGTCAAGCAAGACTACAGAGACCATATTTCAGAAAAATTTCGGGAAGGGGAAGTGGGGAGCGATTGCACTATTAACTAGGCCTGGCCACAGACCTGTTCTCAGGAGTGGGAGGCAGGAGGAACAGGAGTTGGAGGCCAGCCTTGGTTGCAATACAGCAACAAAATATTTCTAATATCCTAGTGGTATCCTCTTTTCTTTTTTTGGCTCCATTGAAAATTTTTTTTTTACATTTATGTATGTATATATGGCGGGGCATGCATAAGTGCCATGTATCACCTTCTTCTAACGTGTGTGTTGTGGGGATGGATGGAATTCGTCTTTCAAGCTTGGAATCAGGGGCCCTGCGGTTCCCTCTTTATCTCCTAAAAGAAAGTCCTACCCAAGATCCAGGATATATCAGAGGAAAGGACAGAATAGGGTTTGGGCTTACCAGTGTAGGTGTCCCTGAAGCGAAGACTAAAAAAATGTGTGAGGAAACATGGGGCTCAAATGAAAGTTTGCTGTTGAGTCTCCACTGAGTTCCTGACAGGGCAGCCGCAGCCTTTCCCCCGCTTCTGCGAGCACATCCTGAACTCGGAGTGGCTAAGGTTTGAGACTCTCCATCTGTGACCGTGCTAGGGTCACGTGAGTTCAAGGAACTGGCCGCGCAGCTCCCTGAGCGGTACGCTCAGGATACACTCACGTCGCGGGGTCGCCACGCGTAGTGTTCATCCACGTGGGTACCGGCAGGTGGGCGCCGGAGGCGGCAGCTAGGAAGGGGGCGGAGCGCAGGTGGGGCGGGCCGGGGCGGGGCGAGTGCGGTTCCGGGATCCGGGTCCGGCCTCGGCCCGAGGCCGCCGGGCTCAGCGGGCGCAGCTAGAGGGTGCATGTTGGGGCGTGCGGTCTGGAGGCGCTGCCCGCGGGGGCTGCGGCGCAGCCGGGAGGCGCTGCTGGCTCTGCTGGCGCTGGCTGGGCTGGGCGCGGTGCTGCGGGCTCGAAGCGGGTCTGGGACGGTTGAGATCCGGACCGCGGTGGACCCGGTGCCCCCGCGCACTCCTCGCCCCGGGCGTCGCGAGCCGGTGCTACACAGGCCGCCGCTGGACGCCAATGCCCTGGGCGCGCAGGGGGAGGCGGTGAAGTTGCAGCTGCAGGGCGAGGAGCTGCGTCTGCAAGAGGAGAGCGTGCGGCTGCACCAGATCAACATCTACCTGAGCGACCGCATCTCGCTGCACCGACGCCTGCCTGAGCGCTGGAACCCTCTGTGAGTGGTTGCGGAACACGGCCGCGTGGGATGCTGCATCCTCCTCCTCCGGAGGCGGTACCGGAGGGGCTATCCAGGGGGCGGGGAGGCGGGAAAGTTAAAAAAAAATCAAAATGAACCTAAGAAAGACTCGAAAGACTCAGAAATTGAAGAGCTGGTAACTAGGTGGTGTCATGAATCCGGCGCCTCAAACTTGTCATTCTGTCCCGAGAGGGTGAGACTCGAGTTAAGTAGACAGGCGGAGTGTGGTGCAGTTGGACTGCGGGTGTGGCTGTGATCCCGGGAGCTGACGGCGACTAGCACAGGGCCGGCTCCATTCATTGGGGTGGGTGTGCCGCTGCCCAGGGATAGAGCAGAATCATTGCCGATACCCAATGGCTGTGTCCGAGGCCCGGATCCGCCTTTCTCTCTCTGGTTGTTTAATTCCTGGTTTTGGGTGGAGGGCGGTGGGAAGGAGGGGTTGGTGGGGAGGGCGCTTTTGGCTGCAGTCCAGCCCAGCTTGTAGGTGGTGCAGGGCGGATTGTTTTTAGTCTGAGCCTTGTTCCTGTTGGAGCTGCTGGCTTTTCAGCAGGTGAGGAACAAGGAAGCAAACAGCCGCAGGAGCTGCTGCCACCTTTGACCCCGGGTCTCCCGGCCTCCTCCGTCCTCTAGTTTGTTAGGGAATTTCTGGTCTCCACTTGAGCTCTGCATACCGACTCAGAAAGGGGTCCTGGTTAGAGCCAGAGGGCCCGCCAGCTCCTGCCTCCTGCTTCCCAGGCCATGCTGGCTTCTTTTGGTTTGGAAATGGACTCAGAAAGCATAGGTAACACTACGCTGCAAAATGTTGAAATTGGCCTTCAGGGATTATAACCTTCCTAGCAGCTGCTGTGACTCCTCCTCCCCATGTCAGGGAAAGTTTAACAGTAGACTTGACTTGACATCATACCTGGATTTCTTCATGCCTACTGCTGTGCTTCTGCCTGAGGCCTTCCCTTTTTCACAATTAATCTTTCCGAGTAAAGTTTTCTGAGATTGGCAGTAATTCTCCTCTTCTCCCGAATGCCTCAAGGCATGTTTAGCCCCTTGAAACCCCAGAGTTCTTCTGCCAGGTCTAGGGAGCGATTTCAGGCTAGACTCAGGATTCACCCCCAAGACCTGGGAGATACCACCCCAGGTCTTTTGCTCACCAGTTGTGTGATCGCAGACAGTGAGTTCTGTCTTAGTTGATTTATCCTCTGTTTCCTCATTTGCAAACTTGGGAACTGATGACCGTCTGTACGCGCTACCTAAGTGGGTAGGAAGAGTGCACCCTCCACCTTCATCATCAGCTCACACCTGGGAGCCTACTGCATGCTCCTAATTTTCCTGTCCTCTGCTGCCCTGGGTATACCTAGGGGCTTCTCTTCTGGTCATCTGGGACTGGCCATGAAGTTTTTCTTCTCCAGATCCAATTTCCTTTATTGTTAGGAGGTGTGAATATCTCTTTGAAACACGTTAGATGACCTGTGGGGCTTATGGTACCCTGTCTCCATGGTGATGCTGCTGCCTTGTGTCCTATCAGGATTTGAGAATAGAGCCTGCTGTGCCTTTGACCCTGGGAATTAATCCAACCCAGCAGGATTAGCCTTGCCTCTGGCTCCTGTCACAGAGCCTGTGCCTTTGTTTCTGACTGTCCAGGAGAGAAAGGCTGAGCTGTGCTATGTCTCTGCCAGGACAGGCATTGAGGCACAGGAGGCACAGCGTCCATGTGGTCCGGCGTGTCAGGGCCTTGCATGGAGTCTCACATGGGTGGATTAATAGTCTGCCCTCCTTATTCTCAAGGAACAGGTTGCAGATCCCAGTAGACACCTGAATTCTCGCATGTTCCCAAACCTTACATGTACTGAGCACTGATAGCATGGCCGTCTATTGGTAACAATGTGACTGCTGAGTGACTGGTGGGCTGGTAGTGTGTGCATCGTGGGTATGCTGGACAAAGGGATGGATGATTCATGTCGCAGAAAGGTCAAGCGTTTACTGTGCGACTTGAGAAGATATACGGTCTAAATGATTTGTTTCTGGAATTTTCCATTTAATATTTTTGAAATATGGTTGAGTAACCAAAGCTACAGAGAGCAAATGCACACATAAGAGGAGACACTGGAACTTCTGCATCAGTGATGAACTAATCAGGGTCTTGATATTTGGGTTGAGAATTCAGATGGTTCTATCTGTTCATACTGTAGGGTCCTCAGGAGTTCAGTTAATAAGCAGAGGGGTTACTCAAGGTCCACGACTGCCAAGTAGGGAGAGCCTGTAAAGGGGGCTTCCAGACTAATCAGAGGAAAAGTCCAGGTGACCCAGAAGGTCTGGCACTTCCCTTTTGTGGTGGGGAAAGTTATTTACTTGTTTGTTTTTATTATAAGAACTTTTGCCTCAAGCGGGGCGGTGGTGGAGCACGCCTTTAATCCCAGCACTCGGGAGGCAGAGGCAGGCGGATCTCTGTGAGTTCGAGGCCAGCCTGGTCTACAAGAGCTAGTTCCAGGACAGGAACCAAAAAAGCTACGAGAAACCCTGTCTCGAAAAATAAAATAAAAAAAATAAATAAAAAGAACTTTTGCCTCAGAAATATTACCATAGGAGAAGCAAAAACTGGGGGGGAAAAAGCCAAAAAATAGAGCATTAAGCCAAGCATGGTGGTGCACGTCTGGTCCAGCCAGAGCTGCACAGCAAGACTCTCTCAAAAAGTAAATGAAAAGAAAATCAGCTTAGAAACCCGGGAAAACTGTTATTAACATTTTGCTGTGTATCTGTCTAGACTTTTTCCAAGTATAGAAGCAGACTTGGGAAAATATACACATAGATGTGCAGGCGAGAACATAGTGTGCGCGTCAGCTTACCAGTTTTTGCTGTCTTTGCATTGCCTTGCACATACATGCTACCAGAGACAACGCATGGGTCAGCCCAGGGACGGCTGCTTCGGCTCTTGCTGGCAGGGGCAAGGTCTGGCACTAGGTCTCTGCCTTTGGACAGGGCCAGATCAGTGAAGAGACTTGGGAGCTGGCTTTGCTTCCTTGAGATGTTGTAAAAGAGCTGACAGTTGCATGCCCAGCTTTGCTATATTAGTTCAGTGCTGGCTTGAGGAGGAGGGGGAGGAGAGGGAGGAGGAGGAGGAAGAGGAGGAGGAGGAGGAAGAGGAGGAGGAGGGAACAAGGTGTCCTTGGATAGATGCAAGGCCCCTTCACTGTTGCTCCTCATTGGATGCTTGAGGAAGAAGGATTTTTCATTCCTCAAAAGCATGCTAATGCGGGGAGCAATATAGCTGGCCCTACAGCCTCTTGAAAAGTGTCAGTGTCTTTCCCAGAACAATGAAATCAGAATTTCTGTGGCTAGGTCCCAGGCTGACTGATGTATGACCTGGCTGAAAACTGCAGACTTGTCACTGTGGATTGCTGGCTCAGGAGTCGTGGGGAGATGAAAGTCAGAGTGAGAAGTGGTTAATAACAAGTGTGCTGAATCTAGCGAGGATGTATGTCACAAGCTGAGAGCTGCTAACATGACCCTAAAAAGATAGTGTTCATTGAACACAGTAATGAGATGTCTGCTGTAATGCCATGGTCACTCACATCCTAATGCCATGGTCACTCACCTTCTGACCTAGTTAGCAGGACAGAAGTGTGACGGTGTGGCAGTGGCCCCAGATCTGCCTATGGGGATGCTGCGTGTGCCAACACCTGCTGGCCGAAGAGCACAGTTTCTTGACCTTGTTTTCACTTCTTGACTTGACTGCTGTAGCTACACGTGTGTCTGAGTTCAGGGATAAGGCTTGGCATGCCACAGAATCTCGGAGTAATTGCATCATCTGCAGACCCATGAGTGTCCTGCTGGAGCTAGCAGGAGGAAGCCGATGGAGTTTCTCTTTTTTTGCGGAGAGATGACCAACTTAGCTGTTCTAATAAATTTACCTTTGTGAAACATCCCATATCAAGTGGGCATTGGAAGGGTTTCTTTTGCTTTCCAAAAAAGGATGGTAAAGCATAGGATATTATCTTAGTCTTTGTCAGACTAGCCGGTCTCCTTCTCTACTCAGCCCTTCAGAACCTCTTCAGTTTGGGATCCATTTTTCCTGCCATTTTCTTTCACTCATTCTGGATCTGTGTGTTTTAGGTATATCATTGAAAAACATGTTGTCCATTTTATATGTCAGGAAAAAAAAAAGAAATGGGGCTGAGGTGATGGCTGGGTCAGTAAAGTGCTTGCCACACGAGATGAGGATCTAAGTTTGAATCCCCATGTAAAAGCTGGGTGTCCCCGTGTGTCTTAGTTACTGTTCTGTTGCTGTGAAAGAGATACCATGGCCAAGGCAGCTTATTAAAAATAGCATTTAACTGGGGCCTTGCTTACAGTTTCAGAGGGTGAGTGAGTCCATGACAGTTTTGGAGAGGAGCATGGCTGGCAGTTGGCAGGTAGACATGACACTGGAGCGGTAGCTGAGAACTTATCTAAAAGTTGGAGGCAGAGTGTGTGCGAGAGACTGGCCCAGCATGGACTTTTGAAAGCTCAAAGCCCACCCTCGACACCTCCTCCAACAAGGCCACACCTCCTAATCCTGCCCAAACAGTTCCACCAACTGGGGACTAAGCAATCAAGTATATGAGACTATGTGGGCCATCGTCATTCAGACCACTGCATGGAGCATGCCTGTGGTGCAGAGAACTATGTCTGCTGAGTCTAACATCCATCATCTGCTTCAGAACAATTATGTGTACTTTCAAGAGATCCTTCCAGTAAGGCCTGTTGACTGATGATGGTACCTCAAAGGAGAAGGATGGGGTAAAAGGATCATTGGACCCACATCTGAGATTCTAGCTGCTCTCTCCTGCACCTTCCTGTAACACTAATATTAAAAACCCAGAGACAGATATTGGGGGTTCAACTCAAAGATCAAAAAAGCAAAGCAGCCAACTACTAGAGAGACCCTTTACCTCTACCAAATTTTCGTACCAAAGGGGGCGAGATCCGATCTTCACGAATCATCAGACTCTATACTCCAGTGAGCTCTTGTCTCTTCCCCTTTATATTCCTCTCACTACCCAGCCATATCACTCCTTTCTCCACCTCCCTAGTGCTGGGACTAAAGGAGTGTGATTCCAAGTGTTGGGATCACCTTTGTTTGAGCTCTGTTTCTCTTTTAGACAGATTCAATCTTGTGTAGTCCAGGAGGCCTTGAACTAAGAGAGATCCACCTGCCCCCAGAGCCCTGGGATTAAAGGTGGGTGCCACCATTCCTTGACCTGTGTGGCTGACTAGTATGGCTGCTTTACCCTCTGAACTTCAGGCAAGCTTTATTTATTAAAACACAAATAATACACCTTCCAGACTAGTAGCACGTGGCCTCATGGTCTCCAGAGGTGCTGGAGTCATGGTGTAGGGAAGGTCGCCTGAAGGGGAGACTTCATCTGTGCGGTTATGGGGAAGTCATCGTCTGTGCAGGGGTGAGATGTTTTGGTGGTGTGACTCTGTGGAGTCACCCATGCTCCTTACGTCATCCCTCCCCTATGTTCTGAAAGTAAGCCCCTAAACCTTGTTCACTAAGTTCGACTTTGATGAAATCAAACGATGGTCTGTTGTTAGTGCCCAAGAAGGAAGGGGTGGGTGTTGGTTTGCATCTGCCTGGGGATCCTATAACAGCCTGTAATTCTTGCTGTGGCTGGGCAGGGCAGAGGCAAGTAGAAGCGAGACCTTGCTAGCTGGCCAGTCTAGTTGATTCCACAAGCTGCAGGTTCATTGAGAGGCCATCTCAAAAAATAGGGTGGAAGACATTCAGCATCAGGATGTAGTTCCTGCCTGGCTCAGCGCTGGTGGAGTGTCCACGTTGTGAGCCAAGCTGACTTTTCCTGGAGTACCTACCTGAGCAGGGCCTCTAGTGCAGTAGGGATGGGAATGTGGAGGTGGCTGAGAAGAGCAGCCCCTCCCCAAAACAGCCTCTCAGTAGACCATGTGGCTCTGGAGAAGCCATCTCAGTGATAGTAGAGCTGGCCGTGGCCATGGCACCTCATCTCTCACTGCAGAAGCAGTCGTTATACGGGGGACTTGGAATCTGCTAGAAGAACCTGGGAAGGAGAAGGGGAACTTGCTCAGAGTCTGGTAGGGAGGAGTGCATTATAGGGATAAGTTGTCTAGGGATCCTCATTTAGATTCTTCATTTAGGTGGTCTCCTAAGCCTCCTATTGAATGCAAGGAATGAGCTAGGATCTCCCAAGAAGATCACTGGGACACAAATCTCATAGCCCAGTGTACTCAGAGCCCTTTGCTGAGAGCTGAGCTTTGCCGTTCGATCTCTCTGAGCTTCATCTTTCAAACAAGAGCAGAGAAGCTGGCACGGGATACATGTTTTTATTTTTAGTTGTGTGTATGTGTACGCATGTGTACACATATGTGTACCAGAGGTATTTGATCCCCCTTGAGCTGGAGTTATAGGGAATTTTGAGCTATCCATTGTGGATGTGGGGACTCGAACTTGAGTTCTCTGCAAGAGCAATAATCACCTCTAGCCACGGAACTCTCTCTCCAGCCTAGAAGTGGTTTTGAAGGTAATGATCAAATACTGCTTTTTATCTACAAGGGGCCCAAGTCCTCCTACCCCTCCAGCTCCATATTGACATCTCTAAAATGAATATATTCTGTAAAATTCAGTTGGCAGCATTTGCCTTTCTGGTTCATGACGCTCTGTCTCCGGTGTGCTTAGCTTTGATGAACTGCCACAGACTGGAGCATTAGGATAGCCCCAAGGAGTCATTCCGTTTTTAAGGTTTGACCAAAACAAATATATGGCTGTTATATATTAAGAAATAAATCCTTATTTTTTAGAGATACATTTTAAAATAGTATGGCTTACTGTGATAGGCAGGATTTTCTTTAAAACACTCTGAGATGGGGACATTGGGAGAGGGAGAGAAACATGGATCGAGATTGGCTTTGTGTGGACAACTGTTGTTGCCACGAAGTCACTGGAAGCTTATGAGTCTCTCTGCCGGTCACGGTTGAAAATTTTCAAAGTAAAATAACATGGAAACAATGCCAGAGATAAGTTAAGGGCCACATGCAAAGTACCCCCACTTTGCTTCACAGGGTCTGGGTGTCTAGTTTTTGTTTTTTGTTGTTGTTTTTGTTTGTTTTGAGCCAGGGTCAAAACAGGGAGGGCCTTAAGTTTACTATAAAGATTAAGATGACCTTGGTCTTCTGATTCTCCTATCTTTAGGTCCCGAGATGATAGGCCTGCATCTGTAGTACTCAGGTCAAACCCAGGGATCTGTGCATGCTAGACACGTACTCTGACCTACATCTCCAGCCCTGAGCATCATCTTGAATGTCATCTCCGCAGAGGCCCTCTACCTCCCTAGTTCTGTGCTTACTCCCTTCCCACCCCTCTATAGTTGTTCTTTTGCTATCCTCCTTGACTTTATCTATAGCATGGGCCATTTTTGTGACTATTGATTTGCTTGCCTGATTGCTGCCCCCTGAATGTGAGCTCCATGGATCGCACACAGCCCGAACCTATTTGTCACATGGCAGACAGTTAGGAAATGCTTGGTGACTGACGGAGGGGGACCACAGGAGCAGGGCTAGACAGTCAGTAGGTGTGCATTGTGTTCCTCTTGCTGTGAGGCTCTGTGTCTCTCCAGTTTGCCACTCACCTGTCTTTTGAGGCCTTCCTTGGCTGCCAGAAACTGATAGCCTGGCTGCCTTTCAATGCTTAGCTTCTCCCTGTGTAGCTAGTGGCCAGGCCCCAATGTCCAAACTGTGGTGCTTCTGGCCTCCTTCCATCTTGCCATCAGACACTTCCGGCTGATAATTTCCAGGCACCCGCCCCACGGTCAGTCCCATGGCACTGAGGCCGTTTTGTCCCTCGGAGGATAGAATGCCGTATTGACCAGGAAGCTGTCAGTGTAAGGTGACAGCAAACTCCCGAACAAACGGGGAGGTCATTGACTCCCATGAGCATTAATCACGGCCCCACCCTGGGACTGGACAGCTTCCGTTCCACCCCCAGAGGCTGCCACCTAACATTCTAGCCACATGTCTAGTTTGTGTGTTTAGCTTCCCACCCTTTGGAGGCGAAGTGACTTGTGGGTGCTCGGGAAGGTGGGCATAGTCCTTGGGTGCCAGGATACTGTGAGTAGCACTTGCTGAAATTGAAGTGGTCGGGTGATAGAGGAGCACTGTGTGGCCACCCCGCTCTCCAGGACAGACATTTTCCTTCCTAGAGGAGATCCAGGGCCAGGCTGCTCTTGGAGGGCACAGGAAATTTGCCAAGTAGAGAAGGGAGGAAGAAGCAGGAAGAGTCAAGAGGAGGGAGCAGTCTGAGCAAATCCTGGACTAGAATGGGGTGGATGGACAGGACAACTAGTGAGGAAGAGGGCTGAGTGAGTAACAGTCTCCCACCCTTGGATTCTGTCTACTTTGTGTGTTGCTCCAATCCACACATTGCTTTCCAGTTTAAAACCAATATCCCACAAGCGGACATTGTTAGGGTTATAACTTTTCTAAGTGTCTTCTGGGGCTCTTTGTGAGAGAGGCCCCCCATAGATTATTTCCCAGGATAAGCCTAAAGACTGTGACCCGTGTCCCCATCCTCTCTCCAGCCCCAGTACTAACGGCGTCTGGCTTGTTCAGCTTGTCAAAGTTACATTCCGCTTACAGGTGCAAAGAGGAGAAATACGATTATGAGAACTTGCCCAAGACTTCTGTTGTCATAGCCTTTTATAATGAAGCCTGGTCAACTCTCCTTCGGACGGTGTACAGTGTTCTTGAGACCTCCCCTGACGTGCTGCTGGAGGAGGTCATTCTGGTAGATGACTACAGCGACAGAGGTAAGCCCTGTGGAGGGGCCAGGGTGACGGGGTGGGGAGTGAAGGGTCAGACTGTGCCCAGCAATAATTTGGGATCTACTCTAGGATCATCTATTGGCCAATGAGGAGAGCTCCACTTTGGGAGCTTGGCTGAGTCAAGAGGGCCTTGGAGATTCCCATAAGGTGTTAGGATTTCAAGCGCCTGGTAGGAGGCACCCAGAGAGCCTGAGAGGGACAGGTGGGTCTAGTCGGTCTAAGGGTTCAGTGTATTATGTGAGGGACGGCCAAGGGCAGGGCTAGACCAGGATGGAAGTGAGGAAGGGAAGGAGCGTCTCCTGCCCAAATGCAGGACAGTGTTGCCTTAGGCGGTGCTAATATATCCATGAAGTGTTTTTAGTCAGTGGATCTGGGGTGTCTGGTTAAAGTAAAGACTGCTGGGCTTAACTGAGGGGAAATGTCAAGAATTCAGAAACAGGTAGATAACTGGGAGCTTCTTGTCTAGAGACAGTTTTAAACCACGTTGTCATCTTGGGCCATTGTGCGCCTTGGCATAATGCTGCCTATGAGCTGTGCTCTGGGCTGTCTGAATACATGATATTGGGCTATTCTCATAAACATTTAAATTACAGAGATTTACCCAGAGTAGAAACTGAGCGCTCTCTCTCTCTCTCTCTCTCTCTCTCTCTCTCTCTCTCTCTCTCTCTCTCTCTCTCTCGCCAGAAGTTTGGTGTGATAGGTCAAGACGATGTCTGGACTTATCTCCTTATGCACGTCTTCACTTTGTGGGGATTCTGTAGCTCCAGTCTGCCTGGAGCAGGCTGACTCCTCCCTCTTGCTCATTTTAGTCTGCCAGAAAAGTTAAAAGGGGACAAGGAACACACCCTTTACCTGGAAGTTCCCTAACTCCCTTCATCAGTTAGAACATGGTGGCAAAACCACGACCTAGCCGCTAGGGAATTAGGAATTCCATACAGTCTTTATCCTGGTGACGGTGAGGTAAGTGGTAAGGCTGTTTAGAGAAACGTTTGCGTTAATGGTGAAACTACTTAGAAACTTTTCTGAGAGGTGAGACCCTTGGGCCCAAACCTTCACTGCGGTGAGGAAAGTGCTCTTTCTTCCCTTTCTTTAGCCCAGGTGGGTCCCCACCTCCCTCCCTCTGACCTTCTGGGGGTGTGACTCCTTGTTCTGGAATTAGGAGACCTGGGGGCTAGTTAATTGGCTTGTCATCATCTCTGTAGGTAACCTCTTCTGCAGGCCGGGATGTGCAGGTCACCCTGGCAAGCTGTTGCTACTGCTACCCTGTGGAGGGCTGCTTTTATATAAAGGAAATGTCTACTAAACAGAATTACTGTCTTAATAAAAATCATGTGTTAGCTTTCTGTCTCTGTAATAAAGCACCAGACACAGGGCACTTAGGAGGAAGAAAAGGTTCCTTTGGCTAATAACTCTTGGAGTTCGAGGGCTTGGTGCATATCAGCTCAGGTCTCAGCATGTTACCGTGGAAGGCATTGGCGGGAAGTTGTGTGAGAGTTAGTGATTGTACCTGGAGCCAGGAGCAGAGGGAGAGACAGGAGTCCTGTGTCCCCCTAGGAGCACACTGTTACAACGACCTCAGGACCTCCCATAGGCCCTTCCTCCAGAAGGTCCCACCACCTCCCAACAGCGCCATCCCGGCGATGAAGCTTTGATCTCAGTGTGCCCACAGAGGCAAGGGACCATATTTAATGGGTATATTGAATATATCCAATATTCAGTTCGCTCTTAAAAGTGCACGAGTCAGCTTATGAAGGGCTTTAAATAAAGGGTTACTTAGGGCTGAGTGGTTACGAGCAATCACTTGCTCTTTTACCAGAGGACCTGGGTTTGTTCCCAGCACCTACATAATGGCTCACAATGGTCTACAACTATAGTTCCAGGGGATCTGATGTCCTCTTCTGACCTCTTCAGGTATCAGACATGCAGATGGTGCATGAACATACGGGTAGGCAAAACTCTCATGCACATAACATTAAAATTCAGTCAATAAATATGTGTGTGTGCTCATGTGTTTCTGTGCCTGAGTGTATGTATGTGTGTGCATCAAGTGTGTGCAGTGCCCTTGGAAGCCAGAAGAGGGTGCTGGATCCTTTAGAATTGGAGTTCCAGGCGGTTATGGACAGCCTCACGTGGGCGCTGGGAACCCAATTGGGTCCTCTGGGCAGCAAGTATTTTTAATCACTGAACACTCTCTCCAGTTCACTATAAAATACTCTTTGTTTGTTTGTTTGTTTTAAAGGCTGGGTTTCTCTTTGCTTTGGAGCCTGTCCTGGAACACTTGCTCTGTAGACCAAGCTAGCCTCAAACTCACAGAGATCCGCCTGTCTCTGTCTCCCAAGTGCTGGGGTTAAAGGCGTGTGCCACCACTGCCTGGCCCTATGAAACACTCTTAGCATCATTTTACTGAGTCATATTCAGGTACCGTAACCCTCTGTCATACAAAGCATGTGACTGAGCGTGCCTTCAGACGGCTCTCTTCCAGCCTGCCCTTGGTTCTGCGCCTCCTGGCTGACAAAGGAAAGGAGGCTTCCATGTGTCCTTTAAAGGGATCAGGGAAATGCTAGATGGTGGGGGCTGGGATGAGCGCCCGGCCAAGGATGTAGACCATTGACTGCTGTCCTGTTTCTGTCCATAGAGCACCTGAAGGAGCGCTTGGCCAATGAGCTGTCACAGCTGCCTAAGGTGCGCCTGATCCGTGCCGGCAAGAGAGAGGGCCTAGTGCGAGCCCGGCTGCTGGGAGCCTCTGTGGCCAAGGGGGAGGTGCTGACCTTCCTAGACTGTCACTGTGAATGCCACGAGGGGTGGCTGGAGCCTTTGCTGCGGAGGTGCGTGGGCCACTCATGGGGGATTGGGGTGCTTGGGTGGGAGCAGGGACGGAATCATCTTGGCTGCTGGAGGGGTATCAGGCCTGCATCAGATACCCTTCAGCAGGACCTTTGTGGTGGTGCAGTGGTAAATGACATGTGGATACGCCTGGATATGGCAGCTTGTGGGGAGCTACAGTCACAGCCAGCTTCTTCTAGGGAGTATTGTCAACCCGGGCTTACACAGTCATTGTGGACTAGAACCTCATGGGGATATGCATTTGGATGTATTTATTTCAGGCATGACTCACCTAGCCATGGGTATTGGAGAAACTCAGTACCCATTAGGTACAAGGCTTGGGGTCCTTGAAACTCAGAGACCCTAAAAGAGGGTGTGTGTGTGTGTGTGTGTGTGTATGTGCATGTATATAGTGATGGACATTGAACCAAGAGCCTTAGGTATGCAAGGCATATGCCTAGAACTCACAATTTTTAAAAAATGTTAATCTCTCTAAAAATCAGAACTAAAAATGCAAATATGCATGAGTATAATGAACCCAGCCTGTATTATTTTCATCTTTATGTTAGTTTAGTTGTAAAGTATACTTTTTAGTAATACACGCACACGTCTTTGAGGCCATTCCCCTGTCACCCCAAGCCTCTTACGTCGCTGTCTACACTGTGGGTCTGGTTGTGGTTCTCTGTAGCTCTCTCTCCCAGTCTCTGATCTTTCCATGTCTTCCCAGCTGTCTACTATAGAAGGCAGGAGCTGGTTAGCAAGCCAGGAGTGTGCCCAGAGGGAGCTCTCTCTGGGTTCCCCTCTGCAGGCAGACAGAAGGTCAAAGGACAGACAACCCTGCTACTGGGAAACCGGCTACATGGCCTCTGACTCTTGGTTGCCAGTGTCTGTCTGGAAGAGCTGGGGATCCCTCCTCCCCCACCCCCCCGTTCCTGGGTGAGACCAAGCAGCCCCGACTCTGCTGCTTCCTCTTGTCTGGCTCCTCGTCTCCTGTGGGTGTGACAGTAACTCCTTCTTTACCTTGCCTCTGAGGAGTGTCACCAGTGGCAGGCTTGGGGTTTCCGTAGGTCTGGGATACAGAATCTGGCCAGTGCCCCCCCCATTCCCTTTCCTGCTGTGCGCATAGATGACCACCCTTGGGTCAGTGTGAAATCTGAGGATGCTACCCTCCCTCCTGAACTGATGAGCTGATAGATCCTAGACTATCAGGGGAGCCCCTCCCTGGGAGCAAGGCCACCATCCCTAAGGAGCTGTCCACCCCGCAGGACCGCTGGGAATCCCTGGGGGACATTTGCATCTGACTCTTAGGGTTTTTCTGGGTTCACCAGGACTTTGGCATACACTGGAGTGAGACCCATAGGCCTGTTAGACTGTGCCTAGGCAGTCTCAACTCTATCGTGGGCCCTCCCTTCGGGGACCTATGGAAATAGAGCTGTCTGGGCTGTCACAGCAGCTATTACTCTTGGCACTCTGCAGGCTAAGGATGTTGAGTAATCCGTGTTGTGCAAGTTGAGGGTTCAGCTGTTAATTCTGGAAACTTCTCCATGAATACATCTTCCACTTCCGAGACAGAGTCCTGCACCCAAATATCAGCGTGATACTCCCCAAGTTCCCCTTTGTGTGAAGCTGGGCTCTCTGTGGTTCCTGCCAGCTGGATGGCAAGTCATGGATGGGTTCCTGTGGGACTTGGGCCTTACCAGTGGCCAGCAGCCAAGCAGGTCTGTGCTGCGTCCCCAAACAATCCCTCAGTTTGTTTGAAGAGGTGGTGTGAGCAGATCCTGCATCTGCAGGCTTGTCACTTTGGTGAGCTCCTGGGTTGATTCTGTCCTGGTTGTCTGACCTGGCCTTGCTAGTCACCTGTCAGTGTGTCACCTGAGGTTTCTCTGACTTTGTTCTGTTAGTCTAGGACACGGATAACTCCGTTCTGCTCCTCTGTTTCTCTGTTCTTCATGGCATGACTCTTATATTGGAAGGACATGGTTCCTTTATGTGTTCCTGGCTGTCCTGGACACACTATGTAGACCAGGTTAGCCTCAAACTCTCAGAGATCCACCTCTGTCCCCAGAGTGCCTGGATTAAAGGCATGCACTACCGTGCTTGGTGCGTCTTCTGTTCTTAAGGCAGTTGTTTTATTGAGAGCACGAGCAAGGAACTCAGGACCGCGAGGGGTGCACCCACACACTGAGACAATGGGGATGTTCTATCGGGAACTCACCAAGGCCAGCTGGCCTGGGTCTGAAAAAGCCTGGGATAAAACTGGACTCACTGAACATAGCGGACAATGAGGACTACTGAGAACTCAAGAACAATGGCAATGGGTTTTTGATCCTACTGCATGTACTGGCTTTGTGGGAGCCTAGGCAGTTTGGATGCTCACCTTACTAGACCTGGATGGAGGTAGGTGGTCCTTGGACTTCCCACAGGGCAGGGAACCCTGGTTGCTCTTTGGGCTGACGAGGGAGGGGAACTTGATTGGTTGAGGGGGAGGGAAATGGGAGGCGGTGGCGGGGAAGAGACAGAAATCTTTAATAAATAAATATTTATTTATTTAAGATAAATATTTCTTGATGTTAAGGTATTTCATTTGTAATGGAACCTCTTGCACGCCCAAGAAGTTGAACACATGCTTTATTTTAAAAGTCACACCTTGACCCTCTGAAAGGGATTCGAGTTTAGCCAAGAATGTCCATGGACAGGATGAGAGAAGTTGGAAACTTGGGGCTTGTTCCTATTCCAGCTCCTCTCTGCCTTCTCAGCATACCCTGTGGTGGTCCCTAGCATGGCCCAGACCCCTGAGTAAGGGAGACTAGTTTTCTCGCCATGGACTGGTTCTTTTCTGCTGGAAGAGTCCGACGGTTCGTTCTGGAACTCCTGGCTGCCCTCCTCTAGTTGGAGCTGAGACAGATGGCGGGTGTGTTGGGTATTTGCAGGATCCACGAGAAGGAGTCGGCAGTGGTGTGCCCCGTGATCGACGTGATTGACTGGAACACCTTTGAGTACTTGGGCAACTCAGGGGAGCCCCAGATTGGAGGCTTTGACTGGCGACTGGTGTTCACGTGGCACGTGGTTCCCCAGCGAGAGCGGGAGTTGATGCGGTCTCCAATCGATGTCATCAGGTCTGCCTTCCCGGCCACTCACCTTAGAGCTCATCCTAAGGGAGGGCTGCCTGTCGACTTCCGGTCCCTACCTATCGTTTCTCCAGAGTGGTTTTCTTATTAAGTATCTTTGCTATATCAATATGTTTCAGCTGATTGATTGAAAATTTTAATTGAGGACATATGCATAAGCTGTAATTTTCATTTTCCCCTCTGTCTTCTAATATTTTAAAAGCACAGGGATCCCCCTCTCCACCCCGCCATTATTGTTCTTGTCAAAGGGTAGGGTCGCATTCCCTTCCTGTTCTACCCTCCCTGCCCTTGCCCCTGCCTTGCAGAGCTCTGGGTGGACTTCACTGAAGTGTGTCACACGCAGGGGACTTGAACTATCTGTGAACTTCAAGGCAGGGACTGCGGGGTGTGCTTTGCCTCCAGGCTCAGCCTGGCACGGGTCACAAAGCGTGAGTTCAGGTGTGCTTATGGATGGATGAATGCATGAGAGGGCTCAGCTTCCCGGGGCATAGGCCTCGGGCGGGGAGGTAGTATAGCCATTCATGAGGGCTTCGTGCTTCTTCCACTGAGATATGGGTACCACTTCTTTTCTAGGTCTCCAACAATGGCTGGGGGGCTGTTTGCTGTGAGTAAGAGATATTTTGAGTATCTGGGGTCTTATGATACAGGCATGGAAGTCTGGGGAGGAGAAAACCTCGAATTCTCCTTCAGGGTAAGTAGTCCTGTTTTCTGTTTAGCCTCATCCCGTGTTCCATATCTCTCTCTCTCTCTCTCTCTCTCTCTCTCTCTCTCTCTCTCTCGCTCTCTCTCTCTCTCCTTGGCCTCCCTCCGCAGTGTTGGTGTGCCCCATTATTCTGTAAGCATGTCTCACCAACATGCTTGGCTTTTGTTTAACTACTTTAGAAGTGTACTTTTACCCTTCCATAAAACGAATCGGAAAAGACATCACAAGTCTCTTAGTTTGTCACTCTGCAGAGGGGGGAAACTGATCCTGGGAGTGGGGCTGTGACTTGTATGTGGACACTCAGAGTCGGTGGCAGAGCTGGGACTGAGATATCAGTGCCAGAGTCCTGCGCCCACCTGGAGCTGCTCTCTGGCCAACTGTGTAGGAGGCAGCCTGTGTGTGGCACACCTGATAACTGCAGGGAACCATCTAAGAACGGCAGGGTCAGAGGTTCCTGTAGAAAGTCAGATGTGATCGATTTAGGTCCGGGCACGGCTGTCTGTGGCAGGCCTTGCTGCCACCCTGGAGTCCTCCTCAGAACCCTAGCGCCTCAGCCATTCCCTCAGCAGCAGCATCTTACACGTCTAAGAATCAAAGCTCCGATTTTTAGGAGCTTTGTTTTGTTTTGTTCTGCCCCCTTGAAAATGGCTAACTGAGAAGAATTTGGCCTCCTCCCTCCCCTAACACGCACACCCTATATTATAAACACCAGATGTTGGTTCAAATTGTCTCTGGGAAAACGAGGCCCCAAATGACCCTGCCTGCTGAGTTTTGGGTGTAATTCTAACAGATTTTCTGCCTCTTCCCTAGGTGTCAGGATACCCTGCCTCTTCTAGAAGCTTCCTCTCTACCTTTCCAACCTCTCTTCTTCCTTGCTGCTTTCTTCTCTCCTGTGACGCCAGGTAATGAAGACATGTTTGACCCACTGAGGAAGTGTGTCACCAGCGAAGTCTCTCGGCCCTTCCCAGTCAAGTGCATGAACTTTATTGCCTGGGCTTTGGGGTTCTTAGCTCCTGTGGCTTGTCTGTCCCGGGCATGCTTTCTTGCTCTTTCCCTTGTCGTCAAGTGCAGGCTGGCAAGCAGCCTCTGTCCCTGGGAAGGCTGAGCACCTTGGCAGCTGCCGCTTCCTGGCTGCCCTCGCTGTGGACCAGCAGCCATTCTTCGCTCACCGTGTGGCCTCTCCTCTCCCTTACAGATCTGGCAGTGTGGTGGCACTCTGGAAACACACCCCTGCTCGCACGTGGGCCACGTGTTCCCCAAGCAAGCTCCCTATTCGCGCAGCAAGGCCCTGGCCAACAGTGTCCGAGCTGCGGAAGTGTGGATGGACGAGTTTAAAGAACTCTACTACCACCGCAATCCCCGGGCCCGCCTGGTGAGTCTCTTCCCACGCGGGCACCACCAGCTTCCTGGGAACCAAGGACCGTAGTCTGGCTTCTCCAGCAAAGTCGATCTGGTTCTAAGAACAGGGGCCAACTGGGCTGTTCTGATGCAGCATGGGAAAGCCTAGTCTTCATTCATGCTAATACCCAGTTGATTCTCACTGTCCACAGAGCCATGCAAATCCTGAATCAGTGATTCCATGCCATTGCTTCTAGCACAGTTAGGTTCCCGTGAGACTCAGACACAACAGCTTTGCCAGCGGTTGGGACTGTTGTTATGTGTATTTCTGTTTCAGGGCACGTAATTTATTATATATCGCTGGTCCATCAGCACTGACCACATGGCCAAGGGCACTATAACTGGTGTCTGAACAGCTCTTACCTAACAAGCATTTTCCCTGTGAGACACATCACAGCCTTCTTTTACTTTTACTTATTGATATGTGCGTGCATGCGTGTCCCCATGTGTGTGTGTGTGTTTATGCTTAGGTGCAAGCGTGCATGCATGCCACAGTACTTGTGTTGCGATCAGAGGACAGCTCTGGGGAGTTGCTTCTCTCCTGCTATCACGTGGGTTCCAGGAATCGAACTCATGGTGTCAGGCTTGGTGGCAAGTGCCCTTAATAGCTGAACCATATTGCTGGCCCCACATCACTTCCTTAGATCTAGGAATGCAAGGCTCACTGATTGTGGCGTCAGTGTTGATGACTGGTAAAGTCAGCAACACGTGGTGAAAAACAAGGCCCCAATAGATCGTGGAAAAGACACGTGTACGGTGTGAGTGCAGAACAGGAAGGCAGAGTGTGACCTTGTTAGACCTTTCTGGAAGCATATGTGTTGGATGACTTGAAGTATTGTTTATGAATGTCTCTGACTGTGAAAGCACAGGGTTGCAAACCAACCTCGGCCTGCAGGTGAATTTGCAAGTACAGAACCAGAGAATAGCCAGGCTTGACTGTGCTAGCATGGCCAATCCGGGCTGTGTCGTGTCATCTGTTGGCCCCCCTCTTTGTAACCAGCGTGGTTGGGTCCACGTGCTTATTCTTCCATAGCTACATTGCTGCCCCCAACGGACTCCAGCCACACTGAGCTGAGCCCACATACTGACGGGAGGCCCTGTGAGAGTGAGCCAGCTTCTCCCCTTAGGCACATAGCTCGGGGGTCTGCTTCCTTAGGGACCCGTGGATCTGCCCTTTGCTCCCCACAAGGCTTTGGGCCCCTGCCTCTATACCAGCAAACTCTAAGTCAGATGCCAGCTTTGCAACCCCAGAGGGCCACTTGGCGACACAAGGAGGTCTTCTCCAAGACATCTGTGCTGGCCTTTGATGGGAATTTCTCCTGAGGCCTTCCAGCAGCCCTGCAGGGTAGCTACCAAGTCCTCATTTGATTGGTGAAAAATCTGAAGCCCAGGGGGTGGGGGAGGAGGAGGAAGAAGGGAGGGGGAGACCGAGAAACCTGGGGCCTGCATGCTCCAGGGTGCCTCTCTCTCAGCTCTACTGAACTCAGGAGCCAACAGTCCAATCTCCTGCATGGTCCTGTGCCTCAGGGACTCCACGGTCATTTGCCTCAGCTTCCTCTGTCTTGTCTAGTGCAACAGACTAAAACACCAGTTCCTCACTGCCAGCCATCCTGCAACTCGAGGTCGCTGTTCTCAAAGTGCACCCTGCTCCACACAAGATGTGAGAGGAATGTTGAATGCACCATGGGCTCAGTGCCTGGTGGGCTGTGTTTGAAGATGGGCTTTGGTCAAAGCTAGGGCACAGTGACTCATTAAAGAAAGGACTTCTGGGACCAGTGAGATGGCTCAGTGGGTAAAAAGGGGCTTGCCACCAAGTAAGAAGACCCGAGTTCAATCCCTAGGATCCACATGGCGGAAGGAAAGAACTGGTTGTCACACACTGTCCTCTGCTCTTCGTATGCACACCATGGCATTTGCACACACGCTCACACAGAATAAATTCAACATTGCTTTGAAAAGAACGGGGGAGTAGAAATTGGAAGTTGACACCCAGACACTTGCTGCCCTTCCTTGGTGTCACTTGTCCGTCTTCAAAAGGTTGACACATTAGAGCAAGGACATTCATATCTCAGTCCTCACCGTTGTTCCTGAGTGAGCAGTTGCTGTGCCTCATGGTGGCAGGTTTTATTTACAGAGGGGTTGTCTGTGAAGTCAAACTTCCAGAAGCTTGCTTGCCCCAGCATTGATCTCCCACTACTAAGTGTTCAGCACACTTGTGTACTTCACTGTAGTGGGCATGCAGATCTCTTGTGATAATATCTAGGACCCATGTCTGTGTCTGAGAGTGAATACTCAGATATCAATAATAAGAAGGGCACAGCCTAAGTCATGGCATTCTTCTGGTTGGGCATGAGGATGGACCGTGGTCACAGAGTCCACAATGGTGCATGGTCCGGGATGCTGATGCAGACTTTGCGTTTGGCTTGCAAGCTCTGACAGTGTGACAGTCTCTTCTGCTTGTTACCTGTAATGTGACTGAACCTGCTCTAATGTGCTATCTAAGGCTGACACGTGATCCTCCCCCCAAAGGACAATAGTATCTGGGTTCCTTCATATTTCTGCCCCCTGGTCTTCCTTTTCGAAATCAACTCCATGCAAGAGTGTGTGAACAGGCCATGGCACACATACGGAGTTTGGAGGACAATGTGTGGTGTTCAGTTTTCTCCTCACAAGCCAAGCACTATGCCGCTTGAACATTCTGTGCCCAGCACTCAGCTTAGCGACATCAGGCAGGATGGCTCCGGGGCCCGTAGGGAATCAACCATTCTGTTTTCTCAGGAACCCTTTGGGGACGTGACGGAGAGGAAAAAGCTTCGGGCCAAGCTCCAGTGTAAAGACTTCCGGTGGTTCCTGGAGACGGTGTACCCAGAACTTCACGTACCAGAGGACAGGCCTGGCTTCTTTGGGATGGTAAGTGGTGGGCCATGGTGAGTTGGCTGTTGCCCCATCTTGGGTCTGAAGAATGATCCTGGGGGAGAAAATCCCCATCTGTGGGGACCATAGGCCTCCCCGATCCCAGCCCTTTGGTGTGATGGTGCACTGTCTTTTCCTTTCCCCTTGAGCATCGAATGTCAGGACTGGGAATTGGCAAGGATGGGCTCCCCTTTGTCGTTGTTTAATAAGTGGGGTGTCATGGTGCATGTGGAGATCAAGGAAGAGCTCTCAGGAGTGCTTTCTCTTCTGTCATTTTGTGGGGTCTGGGGACCAGACCTGTGTGGAAGTGCTGGTGCCCATTGAGCATTTCTCCAGTTAATAATTAGCATTCAGGGGTGGGGGGTGGGGAAAGTCTTAATTTTTGCTAGTATTTTCAGATTGCTTTTAGTCTTAATGGCCCTGACTCGGTAGTCATTCCCAACCCTTAGGAACCATAGAAGCAATCGTGGAGGCACAAGTCTCCCTTCCAGTACTTCTGAAAACCTCGAAGAAATGTTGATGGAACAAGGCCAGCTAAGACAAGAGTCTTGCTTTTGCTGGGGGGGGGGGAGGGGGTAGACTATCTCTTGTGGGCTTTTCTGCTGTTGCTTGTCTGAAGAGCTGGTGTTTCATTTTGGATAACTGCAAAGCCAGGCTTTAGTGTTCTGTTTTGGATATGAAAATGTTCAAATGTACCAAAACCCAGAAATGATGCGTTTTGTCCCTGTGATTCTCGAATATCCAAGACTCTGTTCCTCCTGCTTCCTCCCCCTTGTCCTGCCATTGGTGTTTTCGTCTACTGGGCCAGACCCCAGGGGTCATGTCTTTCATGCCTGTGCACTTGGGTGTACATCTTTGTAAATGTGGCCCCGTCTTAGGAATTAGACCATTACCATGGCCGCTATTGAGCCACTAAGCCTTGCTGCTGTTCACGCTGCCATTGTAATGCCCACTTCTCCAGTTTCTGAGGATGCTCTCTGGGTGGCTGCAGGTTCTAGTGGGACTCTCCACACTGGGTCGGACTGTCATGTCTTGCTTCAGAAGTCTCTGAGCCCAGGTCACACCTCCGCATTTCCTCATCAATGACTGCTTTTACTATGCTGAGAAAACAAAGCAAACAAAAACAAAACCAGGCTCTGTTGTCTGTGGAGTGTTCCACTCATGGTGCTGTCTGTAAGCTGCAGCTCTCTCCTCCATTTCTCTTTACCAGGGAAGAGAGGTCATGACCCAGAGACATTCGGGCCAGGGCAGCGATAAGGCTGTGGCTGAGAAATAGAGATGTGGGCTTTCAGGCCAGGGGTTTGTCGTCTTAAAATGGGGCCAAGTTTCCAGCTGTTGTCTACACGGGAGCGCATAATGACCAGAAAGAGCTGGATAGTGGGGAAGGGCTCATTTCCCTGGGGTGGTTGCCAGGGTCTCCCCACTAAAGTCACTTGGTGTGTAGAAATCCAGACCAGGTGTCACCTTTGTGTCTTGTTTAGCTCCAGAACAAGGGACTCAAAGGGTACTGCCTTGACTATAACCCTCCCAATGAAAACCAAGTCGATGGCCACCAGGTCCTTCTGTACCTCTGCCATGGGATGGGGCAGAACCAGGTAGGTGTGGGCCTCAAGGGGCAAGGGGGGGGGGCAAGCTTTGCCACTCTTCTTTATAAAATACTTTTTAATTGTATTTATTTACTTATTTACTTGTGTATGTGTGTGTGTCCACGTGCCTACAATGTGTGTGTGTGTGTGTGTGTGTGTGTGTGTGTGTGTGTGTGTGAGAGAGAGAGAGAGAGAGAGAGAGAGAGAGAGGGAGAGGGAGGCGGGAGGGGGGAATGCTGGCTGGATTCTGTTCTCTGCTTCTACCATGTGGGTCCCAGGGAGAGAGCTCAGGCCATTAGATCCTTTTCTAGCCAACCCATCTCACCAGCCCTCTGTGTGTTCTTCAGGAAATTAGATATTTGGGTTTGGTTTTTGTCTTTCCTGTTGGACTCCCACTCAGAGGCAGAGCACTAGCCCAGCGTGTGGGACTCGTTGGTGTCTGTTACTTGGAGTCGGCATTACAGAAAGAACCTAAGGGCGTGAGGTCTTATTCGGGCTCCGGGTTTCAGAGGGTTCAGCTCATGGTGGCTTGGTCCTGGGTGTCTGAGCAGAACGTCATGGTAACAGAAAGTGAGATGGAGAGAGCAGTTCACGTCATGGGATTGGGAGAGAGAAAGGGAGGATAGTGGAGGGCAAGATGTGATCCCAAGGACATCCCCCAAGCCTTGCTTCCTCCAGTGAAGTCCCCTCTTCCTCTGCGCCACCTGCCAGCGGTACATCACTTTAGGAATCCATCAAAGGGTGATAATACAGAAAGTAGAGAGGAGTAGGGGACGAGCCTCAGAGGGACAACTGAGATGAACGTATGTTTTCTTCCCTCCTGTGTTGGCGTGAAAGCTGTGGGTTGTGTGCTATCAGTAGTTACAACGCTTCAGCTTAGTTAGGTATATCTTGTCAGGTGTCTTTTGAAGGCGTCCCTTCATGTTTCCTCTTGATCTTTGATTTGATGCTTTTATTATTGTCTAGTTAACTGGTTGTCTGCCTCTCTGTTTCCATCATTGGAAGTAACTCTGTCACCAACTTGGATCAGAAAGAAGAAAACTAGATCCTTTGAATTTTTTTAACGATCACGTGTGTGTGTGTGTGTGTGTGTGTGTGTGTACATGTGTGTACGTGAGCATGCATAAGCCATGAAACAAGGGTGAAGGTCAGAGGACAGATTGTGAGAGTTGGTTCTCTTCTTCTACTTTGTGGGTTCTGGGGTTTGAACTCGGGTCACCAGGCTTGGTGGCAAGCACCTTTAACTGTGAGCCAGCTTCAGAGTTAATTCTTAAATAAAATAGGTTTTGATTCATGGTGTATCAAAACAGTGTTGGGTGGGGCCTGGGTAGATCCTTCTGGTTGAAGTGCTGTGGGTTAGGCTGGGCAGAGAGGCTCAGTTTTAGGGTTTCTGAGGCTTAGAGAGGGAGAGGCCTAGGAAAGCAGGTTCATGTGTCAGGTGGCTCACCACCAGGAGCAGAGGATGAGTTGGTTTGGGACCCGAGAGCTTCCCTGCTCTGGGGAGCCCCAGACACCTGGAGATGGAGAGATGGAGACACAGCATTTTTCTCTCACTCCTATTGAGTTTGACCATAAGCCTCCTCCTAGCCTGAACTTCCAAACTTCCATCACTCTGCCCCACCCCCCTCCAGCCTTAGATTATTTGGGCTCTTCAACACTTCTTAGTATCCTGCTCGTCCAAGCTGATGGTATCCATCTAGGACCCTCGGAGTTCAGGCCCATCTCATCCCAATCCTCTTAAGAAATAGATGGAAAAGCATTGTACCATGTGCCTTGGAACCACCTGTATTAGAGGCAGGAAAAGGTGCCTTGTCAAAAGTATTAAGAAGTATAGCTTCTTGGGCCCTTGTGAAAGGGAAAGAACCCTTATTCCCACTATGCAGTGGGACCAGGGACCAGGATATTTCCCAGGTATTGTAGAGAGTTGCCAGGCACACCAGAGTACAAAACAGGTTGCCTGGGATGAGAGACATCTTTTATGGGGTGGGGTAGGGTGTTAAGCCAGGACCTGGCCCACATTAATCAGATGCTCTACACTGAGCTGTACCCCATCCCCCAAATCTTCCAGGCCTTTTTAACAGCCATTTAAATGGAAGAGAAAGAGAGTGAGTCCAAGGAGAATTGGCTGCAATTGGCTGCTCAAGGTTGCAGACAGCCCCTAAGACAGGTCCATTTTCTTTCCCACTAACAACCTACCTTCACTCTCTAGTAAATGGGTTGTGCAAGAGAGGAACGCTCTACTTCACGGACCAAGCACTATGTTAGAGGCCAGCTCAGCACCCCAAGACACCTGGAGCCCTAACATGGTCTTGGCGGTGGTGGGGTGGGGTGGTGGTGGTCCAATCCACCCCACTTATTCCCCCTAAATCAGTGATTCTCAGCCTTCCTAGCGTTGCGATCCTTCAGTACAGTTCCTCATGTTGGAACCCCAACCATACAATTATTTTTGTTGCTACTTCATAACCGTAATTGTGCTCACGTTGTGAATCGTGACGTGACTGTCTGATACGCAGGTTGAGAACTGCTGCCCTAGATGGTCTTGCTCAGGGTGTCTTCTTCCACACCACAAGGTAAACTGACACATGTTGGTCACCCTGTTGTTAGTTTTTCGAGTACACATCCCAGAAAGAAATACGCTACAACACCCGCCAGCCCGAGGCCTGCGTAGCTGTGGAGGAAGGGAAGGATACCCTTGTCATGCACCTCTGCAAGGACACCGTCCCGGAGAATCAGGAGTTCATCCTACACGAGGTCAGTGAGTGTGCAACCCTCTGCCATCCCTCCAGGTCTGTAAGACAGCCTGGAAGCCAGGCGTGCTCTCTAGCCTGGTCCCAGTGGGTCTCAGACACTGGAAACCTCACTCTGATGCCTGGAGGGGACTATAGGGTCAGTCTATGGCTTCTGGTGACAGTGGGGCTTTCTTCTCTTTCAGTGTTTTACACATGTGCTACACAGCAGGTTGTAATAGAAAGCAGAGCAGTCACAAATGTATGGGAGTGAGGTGGCTTTGTTAATTCAAGTGCCATAATGGTGTAAGTGCCGGGACATAAGCTTAGACCCAAGCGTGAATCACTCTGCTTCTCTGAGCCTCTTTGCCCTCGCTCTGAAATGGGCTTGTTAATAGCAGCCCTGTCCTGCTCTGGAAGGACTCGGTGGGTTCCCAGGGCTTCCTGTGGAAGCTGAGGCCCTACAGAGAGAGACTCGTGGAGGTAACCAAGCAGACACTCTGGGATGGAGCTGATACTATTGAATGAGAGTTTGATGCCATTTCACACCTAGAAGGCACAGGCCTTCAGCCCATTTGCAGCAGGCTTGTGGTAAGACAAAGTGCTGGAGGAAATAAGTCCAAACAAAAATGAGTTATCTTTCACTATCTATTCCCGACTGGCCACAGGGATAGACAGAGATTGCTCTGCATTGCTCAGAATGGGTTGTTCTGAAATCCCACTCAAAGTTGAACTATGTCATAGCAAATAGTGGAGTTTGCAGGCTCCCGGGAGAGCTGAGGCCTGCAATGTTGCCTGTTTGACAGAAGAAAATAAGAGCTGGGCATGGTAGCGACTCCTCTAATCCTAGCACTCAGGAAGCTGAGGCAGGAGGATTTTGAGTTCCAGACCAGCAAAGCCCTGTTTTAAATGAAAATAAAATAAATTAGGAAGACTGATCCTCACACCCCACAGTCTGTTACCCTCGTCTCTTTTCATTTGTCATCCATAGTAAGCATTAGGAATTTCACTGTAGGGCTGGAGAGATGGCTCAGTAGATAAAGCACTTGTCATATGACCAAGAGGACAGGAGTTCAGATCTCCAGTACCCGCATAAAGGACAAAGGGTGTGACAGCCACATGGGAGGCAGCACTTGGGAGTCAGAGATAGGGGATCCCCAGAACAAACCGACCAAGTAAATTGGTGAAGTTGAGATTCAGGAGGGACCCTGTCTCAAGCAAAGAAGGTGGGGGTGACACCATGTCTTCCTCTGGTCTCTGCATTGCACATATGCCTATGAGTACACACACACACGCATGCACACAATACATATATATATACACACACAAATAATTTTACATTAAAATTCTGTGATCACTTAAGTAAATTTGCATAGAAGGCTGGCCAGAGAGATACTTTAGGGAGTTGCTTACTTTTAGCTTCCTAGGGAGGCAACTTGGGTGGGGGTGGGGATCCTGGAAGGGTTGGGGTCAGCAGCATCTTAGCTGTTGACTAGTCCTGTACCCCAGAACTGGGAGGTTATGTGTTCTGTCAGGGCCTTTGTTAAATTCCTTACAGGGGTACAGCTTATACAACGAGAGAGAGGGACAAGATATACAGCAAAGAGAGACTTCCCATGCCCTAGGCAAGAGTGTGGAGAGAGAATCAGGGCCATTAAAGACGCAGGCTAGGAACAGGTGACCAGGTTACCCATCTGGCTGCAGCCAAGTGAGGAGTATGGACAGGTGTCCTGACTCTGTTAAAATGCTCAGGAGGAGGAAGCCGTCAGAGATGGAATTAATGAAGAGGCACAGGGGAGGTAAATAAAGGATCTTGGTTGTGATTTCACTGAGCAAGCTAGAAGCGCTGACCCATCCTCTTGAGTAGCCAGCAGGTGGCGCTGTTTCGCGTGGCTGACCTGTTCTGAAAGGCTCAAAATCGCTCCCTGGGTTCTTCAAAACCTGCCTTGCTGGAGCCGAGGCTTTTCTGAGGCGTCACTAAGTCATCTTGAACATGCCACGTCTGTTGTCATTTGTAGGACGGCACTTTAGTTCACAAGCAGACCGGGAAATGCGTCAAAGCCGCACAGAAGGAGCTTGGCCAAGGCTTTGCCCCACTCTTGCGGGACTGCACCAACTCAGACAAACAGAAATGGTTCTTCAAGGAACACGTGTGATCGCGCGAGTCGCCTTGTCAAGGAAGGAGCCCATCCTGGCCGTGGACTCTGCACCCAGTGAGGTGGAGGAAGTACATGGTTGCCATTTGTGAATATGTTGGTTTTCATAAGAATGTGAATAAGCTTTGTACAGGCTTTGAAAACTCTGAAAATGTCTCCCAGTACCCTGTTTTCTAAGGGCAATCCTAAGAGGTTACCTTTGGTATTTGGAAAGGTTAATTATGATATTTTTTTTTCTATCAAGATGTGCCTTTCACAATTGTGCCTTTTATTCTCACTAACCAAAGAGTAAATATTTTATTTTGGTATTTATGAAGATTCCCAGGTCGCACAAACGGATGATACCTCAAACGTCGAGTTAGCGTTTTCTCAGTGGGCTGAGATGGACACTAGAAACCTTGCGTTGATTTCTTCCAGTGCGAGCTAGATGAGACGGTCTACATTTATATTATAATAAAGAAAGCTCTTTGCTTACGTGTTGCGCCACAGTCAAAACGCTCGTCATGTTCGTATTGACCCAAACAGACTAGCCACGTCTGAAACTTCAGAGAAACAATATGGCGTACCAGGATCATCCAGACTTGAGAGTGTATTTCCAGCAGATGCCTGGTGGGAGGGTGGCCAGTGACTTTCAGTAGTGCTTAGCCGCTGTGACTTTAAGACATGTTTGTGTCACTTGTCATTTTTATCACCCGGTAGTGCCAGGGAGAAATGCAACATTCTACATGAAACTCAGTTTTCCAGTTGCTTCTTAAATAGTATTTGATTGTTTAACCCAGTGCGAGAGCTTGTGATGAGGCAGCTGCCGTGGCTGTTGCCCCAAAGTCCCGATGTCTGGGTGATCCTAGATCAGCTCCCGGAGCTCGTCAACGTGTTATAGCCAATAGGAACGATTAAAAATACCATCAGTGAGCTCGGGGTGTAGGTCAGTTGTAGGGTGCCTACCTAAGCATGCACAAGGCCCTGCGTTCAATCCCCAGCACCCCATGCTTTTTAAAATAGGCTTGGTGGCACACCCCTAATCCCAGCACTTAGGAAGTGGAGGTAGGAGGATCAGAAGTTCAGGGTTATCACCGGCTACACAGAGAGTTTGAGGTCAGCCTGGGCTACAGGAGACCCTGCCTCAAGAAAGCCTCAGTGAGAAGGCAGACTGTGGATCTTAGTTTTGTCCCCGTCCGTTGTAGAAACACACATACATGGTCCATTAAAAAGTGTCACCTCATATCTCTAGCTCCTCTCTCACGCATTCTACCCTGAGGAGCTCCTTCTAGAGTGATGCTAACAGTTCCTCAGTAACAGATCTGCTTTGCCTGAATCCACCTCTGCACCTTAACTGCTCCGTACTTCCGGTTCATGTGAATGAGATGAAGATCATGAACTGAGTTTGAGGCAGGGGATTAGCCGTTTGGGGCATGTGAGAGGGGCTCTGAGATGTTAGCTTTGATTCCCTCCCTGCCCCCCCCTTTTTTTGCATGTGTGTATAGTATGTGTATGTGCATGTTCACGTATCTGCAACACGTGTGTAGAGGTCAGTTTGGCTTCAGGTGTCTTCCTTGATCATTCTCTGCAGCCCTCCATGCTGGCCAGGCTTTTCTGGGAAACCATCCTCAGATGCTCACTCGTTCATGTCAAGCACCCTGTCCATTGGGCCATCCCACCCCTTTAAAGTCTCAGAACCATCCCATGTATACGTAAAGCACCATGCATGCAAGCAGGTGTTTGTTCAGAAAGCACACACAAAGTAAGTACACTTGTTTTCTCTTTAAGGATTAGGCAGCTCTTGAGCAGGCGGGAGTGTGGGGTGGGGCACCTCCTCAGCTCTCAGGCCGAGGGCAGGGTGGGCCTGACCTTCCCCTGGTCCTGCTGTGGAGACTTGGCAGGTCAGGGGAGGGACCACTGTTTGCTTCCTTCTGGCTTCTGTAGTGTGGAGGGTCAGGTGGCTGGTGTAGGGGGAAGCCCCTTTTCAAGCACAGGGAAACAGCCTGGGTGGGCCAGACGTGGAGCTGGCGTCCCCAACTGCACCCAGAGTGTGGGAGGCTGCACCTGCGTCTGTGCACATCACAGGCGTGGCAGCCAACTGGCCTGGATTGCGGAGTCAGCTCACTGACGCCTTCCACCAGGAGCAGCAAGCTTAGTGCTTGAGAAGATCCGGAAAATAATCTGATTTTTGGACACGTTACAGTACTTGAGGAGGCTTTCCCTGCCGTGATGGGCGAAGGGTCTAAAAAAGGCCACACGGATGTGAGGCGGTTCCCCCAACAGTCTGGCCTTGGGTTCCTGTCTCTCTGACAACAGGCAGGTGTGGATGCCATGCTGGTCTGCAGAGTTGCTGAGTCAGATTGCCTTGGGTCCTAGGATTCTATTTCTTCTTCCCCTTTGGAGTTCTCAGGAGAGTGTCACCCCTCGCCTGGCCTTGCTGGCACTCTGGGTGTTTGATGGTGGATGGATGGTTACCATATGTTTTGCATGGGTGACGTCTGTATCCCGGAGGACAGTCTGATTCCCAAGTGAGCAAGTGCCCCTTTCACAGAATTTGTTTCTATTGGCAGATGACTGTGGCCCTTCTCTCCCTTGGGTCTAATATAATCTATCAAGATATCAAGATTGCTGCTATCTGGGAGAGCCCTGACCTGGGTAGAAACAAGTTAGCATTAGGGATGTCAGCTAGGATGCTGTCCGTAGGGAGGAAAGCAAAATCACCTGAAAAGCAAGCAGCAGTGTATCACAGATCTGGAGCTGTGAGACAGGCCTTGTATTAGTCAGGGTTCTCTGGAGACACAGAACTGATGGGATGGATCTATAGAGAGAAAGGGGATTTGTTAGAGTGGCTTACAGGCTGTGGTCCCGCTTGTCCAACAGTGGCTGTCTACAAATGGGAGGTCCAAGAATCCAGTAGCTGTTCAGTCCATGAGGCTGGGTGTCTCTGTTAGTCTTCAGTATACACCAGGATCCCAAAGAGGTGGAATCTAATGCCAGTGAAGAAATGAGCTTGCCCGCTTGAGAGAGAACCAGCAGGCAGAGAGCGAGCTTCCTTTTTCCATGCCCTTTATACAGGCTGTCATCAGAAGGTGTGGCGTAGATTAAGAATGAATCTTCATGGTTTAGAATATCGGGATCAAAGGTGGGTCTTACCACTTTAAATGATTAAAAAAAAAAAAAACAAAAGTCTCAGGTGTGCCCAATCACTAGTTTTAGTTAATTTTGGATATAGTCAAGTTGATAGTCAAGAATAGCCATGGCAGGCCTCATGGGGCCAGCAAGAAGAGGGAGCTGTCAGGGACATGCACAGTTAAGCAGGGAGTGGAAGGGAAGTGTGGTGTGGGGTCACTGGTGACCAAAGCCTTCACTGGGGTTCAGGGTGTTTCCTTAGCACTTTGCCCCACAGGGTTCGCACAAGCGTATTCCGAGTTGAGGCTCTTTGTAAAGACCCACCGAGACAGGTAGTCTTCGTAGTAGATCTACACTGGGATCAGTCGGGTGAGCCTCAGAGGAGAATGGTCTCCAGAAGGTGGGTGTATAATTCAGACTGAGGAACTGGGGAGTGGGAAAGAACTGGAAGAGATGCCCAGGGTGACCACACCTATCTCTGGGATGAGCAAGTTAACCCTATACTCACTGGAGGCTGAGACAATGTACATAAATTATCACTAACTTAGATAATGGTTCTTATAAAATGAGAATCCACTATAGACTCATTGCCCATCTGCATGATTGGTGGTATAAGTGTCTTCTGGTCACCTCTCTCTCTCTCTCTCTCTCTCTCTCTCACACACACACACACACACACACACACACACACACACACATCCAGTGTTGATAAAACCCACTGCCTTGTGCACACTAGGCAAGTGTCCTACCACCCAGCCCCACCAGCCCCAGCCCTCTTAGCTATATTCTTTTTTTTTTTTTTTTTTTTTTTTTGGTTTTTCGAGACAGGGTTTCTCTGTGGCTTTGGAGCCTGTCCTGGAACTAGCTCTTGTAGACCAGGCTGGTCTCGAACTCACAGAGATCCGCCTGCCTCTGCCTCCCAAGTGCTGGGATTAAAGGCGTGCGCCACCACCGCCTGGCCAGCTATATTCTTTAGTTCCTTGTTGAGCATGTGTCTTAGAAATCACAATGTGCTTCTTAAAATTTTCATGGTCTTCAGCTTATTGTTGAATTAATCTCAGTAAAACTTAGCTGGATCAATCTGCTTCTCCCCTCTTTTCTGTTATGGTCATGGTATGTCTTATAAACACAGCGGTAGAATGGCACACTTACTGCTTTAACAGTAAAGGAAGAGCATATGCACACACTCGCTCACACAGTCCTTTAGTTTCCTGGCCTTGTATACCAGTTCTCGTTTGTTCTTTGTTTTCTGAGACTCTACGTCTTGTTGGTTTGCTTTGTAAGGATATTGACGCTTCCCCTCGGGGTAGGTAGATCCATTTGTAGCAGGCCCTTTTTACTTGTTTGGGAATGTTTTCTATCCTGCCTTCTGTGGTTGTAAGGTAGTAGTTTAGCTGGGTAAAAGACCATCCTTGGAAGGTTCTTGTTTGTTCCTGGACTGAGGTCCATGTAAGTACACAAGTCAGTTTCACGGAGCTTTCTGCTGTGACAAGGATGCCCATCCTCCAGTTTCCACTCACGGCCCTTACTTCCTTCACACTGTCGGCAGCTCCAACAGCTATGTCTCTACCAAAGGTCTATTTAAGGAACCAGAAGCATTCTCTGTCAGGCTTCTCAAAATCCCGCCCCCCCACCTGTTGGAGGAAGCCACTTGTTGGTTCCCAGCCATTCAGCCCCGAAATAAACACACAGAAACTAGATTATTCAAATCATTGCTTGGTCCAGCTCTAGCTTCTTATTGGCTAACGTTTATATCTTAATTTAGCCCATCTCTATTAATCTATGTATTGCCACGTGGCTGTGGCTTACGGGCTAACGTTCCATCATCTGTCTCCGGTGGGGCTCCATGACTACTCCCTGACTTCTCCTTTCTCCCAGCATTCAGTTTAGTTTTCCCCTCCTAGCTCTGTTCTACTCTATCAGGCCAAGCCAGTTTCTTTATTCATTAATGGTAATTCACAGCATACAGAGGGTAACCCCACATCACCCACCTGCCATGCTGTAAGTCTGTGTAGGTCTGTGTAGGTCTGTGTTACAGTAGTGTTTCCCAGACGTCAGTTGATATTTCCCGTTGCAACCAGAAGTTAGCAGGTGAAATTGGCACTCACCTATTTTCTCCCAGCCCCTTGTAGGTCATAGGGCAGGCTGTGTTCAACTTTACTGTTTTCTCAGCTCTGGGTTCTGAGTGAAATCCAGATGTGACCTCCTGCCGTCTCCTCTGGGACTTTGGTTCTGCTTCCCGGCTCACTGATGGCAGAAATCAGTCTTGTGGCTATGGGATGGAAGCTGCTGAGAGCACACTGCTGGCTTTGGAGATGCAAGCTGCCGTGGTGTGGCGTGACTAGGATTCAGGATCCGTGGTTTTCTTACACATTGTATGCTCAGAG